ATATCGTAAGAAACCGAGAACTGTGGGTTATAAACATACATTTTAAGTTCATCAAAATCGGATAACAATTGTGACCTCTAGGGGTGTCCACAAGCTAAAAACGTGATTTTTCGTACAATCAGGTGCCATAATCCCTGTCGTTGATATCGGATAAAAATTGTGCAATGTGTGCTTCTGAAACACGACCCACTAACAGAGCCTTTACGATAAATTCATTTTACGATTTAGTTTTCAATTACAAATCAATATACTAATATCGCATAGATGTAATTTAAAACCAATGATTTAATCATCTTTCGTATACGACTGTTTATTAATTATTGTCTTTAAAATGATTCAAAGGAAAAATCCCAGATAGAATTTACTGAATAAAACTGGTTAATCCGGGGTGAAAAACTCTTGAAAACATTTATGCGAGTATTTGAAATATATTTAACCTACCCTGGGCTTTAAAAAAGAAGTGATTAGAAGGCCGGGTTAGAATTTGAAGTCTCAATCTCTTTTGAAAACCGTTTCTTCTTATATTTGGGTTGGGTTTTCACATGTTACGTTTAAAAGCAATCGGAAAAAATGTTATCAACAGAAAGTGGCATTGTTAGAAAAGATAATGGCGTGATACCAATAATTGATACTTAACAACATGAGTTTTTTTTTTATAAAACTGGATATAATACGAAAGCTTCTAAAAATAAATAATTCCGGATTTGGATACTAATGGATTGTCATGAGGTTATTTAGCTTGCCCTCATTGCAATCTCTCTGTAAGGAGGCAGACCACCATTAAATTTCATCATCTCGGTACCCACGAATTGTAGTTCGTCTATTTATAGCAATTCTCTTTCTCTCTCTTTTCTCCCCTTTTGCATGCCCATTTGTGTTGATTTTTTGGTCTAGAATGGACGAGGAGGGTTTGAATTAACATTTTCTGCCAGGTTTTGGTAAATATTCATGATTTTGAGGCGGAAGGATAAGAGGGTTATCAGGTTAGCTACGGCGATATGTACGGCAACTAGTTACATGTTTTTAGTATGCTTCTTCAAGTTTGTGTATCTCAAAATTTTGGTGGTCAACCTCATACAAATTTTAGTGCAAAGACATGACCATTTGTTCCTCTGTCTGTAGTGAAAAGCATTCAGCCCAACGAAAATTTGGGGAAAAGTTGGAGGTGGGCAAAGAGGCCAGAATTAACATTGAAGTCAATGGGGAAATTAATGGTGGTCTGCCTCCGTAAGATATTCGAATAATCACCAATCTAATACTTCGGTTGCCTGCCTATAGTTCGCTCTGCTTGAGAACAGACACTAAGCTATAGTTGACCGATATTTTAAGTTCTAAATCGACGATTTTATGTAGTCGAAAACTGAGAAGTATTCATTCTGCTTCCATTTAATTGGATTGAACTGGTTTATTTCGTCTTTGAGTGTATGCCAGATGTGAACGGGATAGAACCGCATTACAAAACAATATATTATTTTTTTTTTTTTTTTTTGGATATGCCGGCCATTTAGGGAATATATTTATTCTCGAAGTATGAAGTAGATGGATCTCTGTGTGCAGAATGTCCAATACCTCGGAAATTCCAAAATAGTATTGAGAATTGCCGATCGACTAATAATACGTGGCATGGTATGTTTATATGTTTCTAGATCACTCGATTTTACTTCTTAGTTATAGCTCACACAGGAAAATCAATTTCTAATACTGAATAAATATTATTTCTAGTAGCCTAGAAAGTTGCATTGTATTTTTCATTGGTACAGTATAATGGTTTAACCGATATATTTTGGTGTATAAAGGTCAACGGTCCATGTAGACCCCAGTCAGTCTATTATGTCTGATTACAATACAACCTTGAAACACGACCATGGGAGCATTATTATGGTTGAGACGTCATAAACCGCACGGAAACATTTTTAAACACAGTAGTCCTATACGTACACGACAGTTGTAAAATATATATTGACAATAGAAAGTGTGATAGATTCATTATGTGAAAGCTAAATCTGTCTATTACGGGTCTTTTTTCTCTGCCCCCCCCACCCAATAATTTGGCCGCAAGTACTCTTTTATCCAGTTTAAATTGCACGCAAGTAACTATTCGGTTATATACAGTGGCGTAACTGGACGAGGCCTGATTTTAACATAGAAGTGAGACTTCTAGAAGTAGAACGTAGGCTTTCAGAAGAAAAAAAACCTATTATGCACTGTACTGATCCTTGGGTTAAGAGCCCCTCAGTTGCGAGGGTCGCGATTAGTTAACTGAACAGTCGATCTTAAATATTTCATTCAATCTGACAGATTTGGGTAATTAAAACACGACAGGGTAGAGTTTTTTCTCACATTCTATAGCAGGGGCTATAGCTCTAGAATTGAAGGTCTGATGCGTACCAAATGCAAACTCATCCAAGAACTTTTGATCCTTAACACATTGTTTAATTTTCATCTCATGAATCGGACAAAAATTGTGGCCTCTGCAGGCCTCTGGAAGGTTCACAAACTGCATTCATATTTCACATTTTGCGTGAAAGGCAGGGGCATAACTTCAGAACGGTTGCGCACTAAACTTGAACTCATCCATGAACTAGTGATACTTAACACATGTTTTAAGTTTCATCGAAATCAGAAATCTAGAGGGTCGACAACCTTTATATTACATACTTTTACACTATTACCGTAAAGGGTAGTGGCCATCATATGGACTCAACCATAATTATGGTGCAACGGTTATATATTTGGACATTTTTACAACCATTAAAAATTGTGACCTCTAGAGGGCCTACAAGCTAATAATTTGATTTTTCGTACAATCAAGGTCCATAATTCAAGAAGTTACGGTCCGATATGCGCCAATATCGAACAGAATCAAGATCTTTAGGTTATATACATACATTGTAAGTTTCATCAAGATCGGATAAAAATTGTGACATCTAGAGTGTCCACAACCTTGGAATTATTATGCATATATTTGTCCAGTTCAGCATCACAGGGAAGCACAATCGACTACAGTGCTTTCATGGTAAGGATTTTAAATCTAGAATTAAAACTTCACTTCATTGCTGAGTATTTTAACTAGCCAGAAATCGCTTAGAAAGCGTCTCCGACGATCTAGACCCCTGGGAGCTTCCGGGGCCTAGGCGGCCCCTGGCCCCTAGCCTAAAGTACTAGCATGGTGCCCCACACCCAATCAAGAATTGCTTCCGTTTTCCCCTGGGTTCAATTCAGGGGTGAAGCCAGGAATTTTTTGGCAGGAGGGTGTTTGCCAGGTTCCTGATAAGGAAATTTGACAGTTGACAATGTATGATGCCATCATCGTCTCCAAATTACCGAGCTTTTTAAAGAGATACGTCAGTTTTTATTATTGTGATTCAATTTCATTGATGCAAAGATTGTGATACCATCTACGTTACATTTTGTCAAAACTTCAAATATTCATAACTTTGCACCGAAAATAGTATACTCTTCAAAAAAGGAAACGTATAGTGACATTTCGTCGTCGGTATACCTGCGTTCTATCATCGCCCCGTTGCAACAAGAACCGCGTCTCTGAAACCGCCGAAACAAACTGTTCTCCAACGTTGCTGTGACCATACCCTGTGTGTCTGAGCCCATTGAAGTCAGATTTGACGGTGTCGGTGTATTTCAAAACAGCAGCTCTTAACACGCTTTCACGCTGGCGTTTACGGACTGTCTGTTCTGAGATCCTACGCCGTCCAGGAATTGCTGCTGCAGTAAAGGTCGCTTTTGTGTACCATAAATGACGTAACCGGATGTGACGTTCCAGGGCAGGTGGGGGTCACTCTTGTTTGGCCTGAGCTTGGGCGGTCACGTGTTGAACTTCGCTGTCGGTACCTATCCCAAGGGCGAGATTCATTAGCTTGTAACCGACCGATGGCGTTGTTGTGTTGGTCTTCGTTCAGATGTGGCATCACTAGGCTCACTGAGTGTTTGGGTTTCATGCGAAAAGTTTGCGAAGTTTTCAAACTCATGTGTCTTGGTGCAATCAAGCGAAGTCAAATTTCAGCAAAATGTATGACCAGTTAAGAGTTTGATAAAGAGTTGACCATTCTTGCTATAATAATTAAAAAATAGATGATAAAAAAGAGAAAATATTGAAAATTTCAGCCAAGTTACTTTATTCTGAACGGAGTTGTCACTGTTGGAAGTTTGGACTATAATAATTCAAAAATAGATGATAAAAAGAGAAAATATTGGAAATTCCAGTCAAATTACTTTATTCTGACTGTGTCCGCACCGTCTACAAGAATCGCCTTTCGTTTGATTGACAGGCGATAACTCCACCCACATATTCTCGATTATCAAGTAACATTCTCAAAGGCTATGGTACCCTCGCTTGGCAGGCCTTTCATCGGAAGTCTCCGATAGTGACGCAAGTGACTAACGGTAAACGTTAGCTTGGACGGTCATTTCTTGATTTAATTCTAAATGAACTACTGTTTAAATCCAAGCTGTATCCAAGCCATCCGAGGGTCTAAAGAGTTGATTTTGAGCTTGTCATGTAAATAAAGGTCTGATTGATATTTCTATAACATCTGAAGCCTAAATAAAGACTTAAATAATAGGCAGATTTAGCTTTTGCATAATGTATGTTTAATGCAATAGGCTATATTAATTGAGTCGTTTTAAATGAATAATTTAGAATACTTACACATTTTAAGGTGTTGGGAGCGACCTCAGATCGATTCATATTCGCAAATTGTTTGCGATAATTGTGTTTACAACACACAATGTTATCATTTTTGAAAGAAATGTTTAAATATCTTTTGTTTATCCTGTTTTTATTCAGGGTTATTTATTTTGGGTTCGGGTATGGTGGCCCCTGGCTTTTTATCCAGGTGACAATATTATCGCACAGTTGAATATTCAATATTAGCCAGGTGAAAATAATCTGAGGTGGCAATACAAAATATATATTCATGTCTTATTTAAGTCATCTTCATTTATTGTTGAATTTGGAGTTCTTGTGAGCCTTCTAAAGTTTATTATAACCTTGATATGTATATAATTATGTATTTTTGTTGTTATAGTTGTTATTTTTTTCTGGCATATTGGAATTCTGCCAAGCGTGTAAAAATTGTTTACACCGCCTCAAACAGACTTCAAACAGCTGATTGCGTTTATCACCTGAGTCGAAACAATGCGGTTAAGACTTAGTGGATATATGTCTACATATATCATGCACAGGTGGTTCCTTATTAACACTCATGCATGATTCATGGTGGCCAGCAACTTCACTGTGAAAAATATCGATACCTTGTGTTGCATCGAATTATTTCATTGTCCACTTTTTATGGTAATTATATGGTAATGAGGTACAGTTTAACCTGCTATATATTAAATAGATTGATAAAATCTGCTATAATATGTAAATTAAGTAGTAATAGACTTGAAAGTGGTCATTTTAGATGGATTGCACTAATTGTGACAAAAATCGGCATTATGGAAATAACTAATTATTGAATGTTCATCAAAACTTTTAAAAACAACCTGCTTGATTAAACTTTTCAGTTTTTCTACTTTGTTTTAGAATTATTGAACAAGCCAAGATTCGTATCTAAAAATAATTATCATCTACTCGGCGTCTTAATTTTTTTTTTTTTTTTTTGAAACATGAACTACTCCAGTTCTTCCCAAGGTTATCAGCTGAACGCCTGCCAGATTATTCCGGTAAGTCAAGATATAAATATATTTATCAGCTGAGTTAATGTTGTTACACCGTCATTATTTTTCTTAGATTGGAACCGATCGATAAACATTCTGATCCCGGTCCTAAAAATATGTTTTTATCTGATAGTTTTAAACAGGCTGGGTAAATTGGGTGGTCGAATGGTTGAATGCGTTCGTGTTAGATCATAAGGCCTGTCATTGAATTCAAAAATATTTAGTGGAGATGCTATGAATCTTATTTTTTTAATTCACGACTGGCTACAATTAAACTTTAGTATTAGATCGAGTATTTCACCCACAATTACGAATGGGGCTGCTGTATTATTACAGAATTTATTAGTGATTGTTTAGATTCCATTCATCATCCTCGAAGTAAAAGCGTAATGTGCAGCTATTTAAAAGCATGTGTGGTGTTATTAATTTCCGCGTTGCTAGCGCATATTCATTTTATGTAGACACCATCCAATCCTAGCAACATAATAATTACTTAAAAATCTGTGATGCCTTTAGTTGTCGTTTCTAAAAGATTGTTCTTCATCCATTTGTTTAATTTGATAGGTCACAGGGGTTACCTGCACCGAAAAACATTTTACATCAATTAAGAAGTCGGTGACCTACCTTTTGCTGAACCAGAAACCAAGACTGGGCAAATATAACATAACTTCATTGTCTATGAAATGTTCTTTCATTTCAATAATATCCAATACATTAAATATCAATGACAATGGTTTCCTTTGAAGAGCGATTTTTCCATTTCAAAGTAATAACTCGGCGAATTTATATGTATAGATAAATGAATTTAAACTCCTTGGCGACGCTAGATATTCTTGAACTTTGTATAGTTTCATTAGTAGTCCTTTATAATTATTATAACCGAAATGGTTTAAATGTTTCTTTATATAAGATTTTCTAAGGAATAGTTTTATCAATTTGGGCTTTAATTTCAGGAGTCGAAATTCGTCATTATTGGAAACCAAGGGTAATACAGCAACCGAGTCACCAGTCAATATCTTAATAATTAAAGGGAGTTGTTATCGCATTTATTAAAATATAATTTACTGTTTGATGAACAGAATATCTCGGTAACATGTGTCGTTCAGGGTGGGCTATATCTTTTATTGTTTATATATATACTATTCAAAAAAAGTAGGGGATATTTGATTTTGGGGGCATAATACTAAAATATGCAAATGACTACGAAAAAAGTCACTATATAACCTAACAGAAGAAACATTTCCAGTTACATGTGACGCCCAAACGCACCAATAGCTACCGCATGGAATGCAGGTGATGCTTGGGATCATCATGGGGGTCCAACCCAAGATTTGCACGACTCTGACTTTGAACAGACACTGGTGTGAGAGTGAGTGGCCAGACGATTCGGAATCGACTGCATAGGGGTCACCTTCGCGCCCGACGTCCTCGCGTGATCCCTTGTTTGAGAGATCATCACATTCAGGCAAGACGTCGTTGGTGTAGGGATCGTCAACACTGGGATAATCGACGCTGGAGCAATGTGATGTTTTCAGATGAGTCAAGGTTCACTGTTGATTTTTTGGACAGACGTAGGAGGGTGTGGCGTCGTCGAAACGAGCGCTTCCAAGACGTTAACGTCATCAGACATGATCGATTTGGGGGTGGTTCTGTTATGGTGTGGGGAGGCATCACTGTTGCTGGAAGAACGGCTTTACATGTTGTTGCAAGACGTGTTACAGGCCAGTACTACCGGGACAACATCTTGGCAGTCCATGTTGTGCCGTTCGCACGACGTCATGGCCGCCGTTTCATCTTCCAGGATGACAACGCAAGATGTCACAGGGCCAGGATCGTTACAGGTTACCTCCAACAACAGAACATCACCACATTACCTTGGCCAGCACTGAGTCCCGACCTCTCCCCCATCGAGCATGTCTGGGACATGCTTGGACAGAGGTTACGTCAACGTCAACAACGTCCTGCCAATGTCCAAGAACTTGCTGCTGCGTTGCAACAGGAATGGGACAATCTGGACCAAAATGACCTTAGACGTCTCATTAGGAGTATGCCACGTCGGATCAATGCTTGTTTGGCAAACAGAGGAGGATTTACCCGTTACTGACTTGGTTGTGATGCTGTGGTAACTTTGCTGTTTGACCCCGGGTATCATTTTACCCTTATAATGGTCAGTCTGTGCCTTACTTAGTCTAACGATCATTTGGAATAAATCGATGAATGTGAACTTCATTTCATTTTGTCATTTGTTTCTTCGTCAGTTTCATTAGGTGACTTTAATAACACTTAAAAATCAAATATCCCCTACTTTTTTTGAATAGTATATATCATTTCGACCTTTCCCACGGTCCAGTGGAGTAAACTATCCCTGGTAAATTTGCTTTATCCTATTGGTGCCGTAGCAAAACTTTATTGGCTTCGGACCAGACGTGCTATGAAACTTTTGGCCTTATGTTTAGTCTCGGTCATTTCGACCATACAGTAAAGCGATAGTTACAGCCCAACTTTTCAAGGCAACGGATAGTAAACGGTTTTAATAATTATGGCAACTTTAACCAATAAAGTGAATCTTTGCGTTTTATTAAGACTGTTTTAATACATAATGTAACAAATCTCGTTTTATCTGATAAGGTTACAAAGTTAATTATTTTTTTTAAAAAAACGGTATGGTATAAAATATCTAAGTTAAATGGTTGCTTCTAGTAATTATTAAAGTAGGACGTCAAACCCCATTTGAATTCATTTTCCAGTAATTATAATTAATGGTCAGGGGACAGTTAAAAGTTACCAATATATTTTACTAAAGCCTATAGGCTGTGTGATAGGTTGTGTGTTTAGGACTAAATAAATAATTTCGTGTGAGATCGTTCACTTTATCATTTTCCTTATTTACTTCGCTGCTGCACAAAGTTTATATTTGCTTATAGGTGACCTTGAGTGTAAGGTCATAATTTTGGGTGGGGCGGTTTTCAACCGACTTTTTTATTTCGACTTTTGTGGTTTGTAAGTATAACGAGTTATTTGCGGTGGGTTGGTTAGATATGTGAATATATATAGAGAGAACCAAGTCTCGCCTATGTCGGTTAAATATGCATAAATTGTAAAGCACGATTAAATGGGATCAAATTTCCACCGACTTTAACCGATCTACAAATATAGTTTTAAAAGAGCAAACAAATGTCGTGTCATTTAAGTAATATAGGTTTCTAAAATTGGTTTATATATTGAATATAGATAAAATGTCATAATATATTTCATTACTGGAAAAAAAAAAGAAAATAATAGATGTCAATGTTGCTTTTAATATTAGGCAATAAACCCTATTTAAATGCAGGATATATGATCTGTCTCAATTAACAACAATGGTATCATTGTCATTTTATACCATATCTTATTTCCCTAAAAAATAACCCAGATCATCACTGAACTAGTTGCTCTCTGCAAGGCAGGTTTCAATGAGGATATGGAAAATGAGCTCATTCAGTTTCATGACATTTTTTCGTTGGAAAGATAAAAAAAACTTACTTAGGTAAAATACCTGTTGTATATGTTCATCGTCCCGTAATTAGCGGCGTTAAAATATCTATGTGTGACATATTGCGGGTCATTTTTCTCTTGTCAGCAACGGGTCATTTATAGAAACAATGGCCACCCTTGATCTGCAACGAAACGCCTCTTTTCGCAGAAAAACTGCTTACACCACCGTAATCATTGATGAGCCCAGAAAGCCTTGCCAAAAAATATTGTATATGGTTTCATCTGGGTCTCATTTCTGTATATACACTTTTGTTAGATGTGTTATAAGCAGGCCTACAATCATAGGTGTCGACCTTGATTTTTGGTCAGAATAATTATTGGGCAGCGAAATCCTCGTTTCCAGTTTGTAAATTTCTAAATGTTATGGGGAGAGTTCCCCAACCGTCCGTCGATTGGGCCCTCGTTGTCATCCATTTGAAAACACGAAAATGAAATGATGTTTGAAGCACTACTGTGCTGCCCCGACTGGGATAATAAGGGTGCTATGAGGGAAACTTTGTCCGGACAGCTGCAACGACTGGGATAATAAGTGTGCTATGAGGGAAATTTCGCCCGGACAGCGGCGCTACGGCCTGCTCTTATATCGAATTCCAACTGCCAGGGGTTATTTTACCACCTCCTCGGTTTTCGTCTTATTCGAACGACTATACGTTGTCCCTTGCCAGGCCCTCTGTCCTGCACCATTGACAATGGGAGACCACACCAGAAAATTCCGATGAACTGTCCTGGTCAACCCCAAGATTAACGAGCCAACGTCTTATTCACTGAGTTTTTCCGGCGTGGTTTCCCCTTGTCAGTGATGCAGGACGGAGGGCTTGACAAGAACAGCTGTCTAGTCGTTCGGATAAGACGGAAAACCTAGGCCTCGTGTACATATTGGCGTGCACGTAAAAGATCCCTTGGCAGTTGGAATTCGATATAAGAGTAGGCCGTAGTGCCGCTGCCCGGGCAAAATATCCCTCATAGCACACTGTATAGCGTATGCCCGTCTTCATTAGCCCAGTTTAGGAGCAGAACAGTAGGACGTTAAACCCCATTTCATTTCATTTCATTTATATTCACTGAGACAACGCATTTGAAAAACACAAATAGAATATTAAACACGTATACACGTGATGATCTAACACGTGATGCATAACATGCTAGTCTGACATTTACTTTTTTACACTTTTAATTGGTTGATAAACTGCAGCTTGATAATTTCAAGTATGAAATGCATAATTGTACCTATTGGTGCGTTTATGGCAAATGGTATACTACATAGAAAATATATTCGACTTAAAGTTACTTAAAATGCAGATATATAACTTATTTTATTATATTGTATCCACTTTCCGTGGAAATGAAATGGGGTTTAGCGTCCTATTTTTCAGTATGCTTTGAGAGAAATTTTGTTCCGACACCGGCGCTACGACCTGTTCTTATTTCGAATTCCAACTGGCAAGGGTTTTTCAAGTACAAAAACAAAGTGT